GGGGGTCCACGTCCGGCTGACGTTCCCTGTCGCCCCCAGCTGGAGCAGGCGGAGCGGCGTGGGGCCCGGGGCCGGGATGCCGAGCGACGCCGGAAGCGCCGGGCTGAGCGGGGGGAGCTGCCCCCCCTACCGAAGGAGGAGTTAGAGCCAAAGAGGAGCCGGGAGAGCGAGCCCCCCGATGTGGCCCCCCCCAGGACCGACACCGACCACAGCCAGAACGGTGTCGGGGTGAGATTTGGGCACTTGGGGGTGCGCCTGGGGCTGTGGGAGGGGGTTTTGTTTGCCATGGGGGCCTGTGGGGCTGGGGTCCCCCCTGACCCTCTGGGCTGGAATCTCCTGATCCTACTGGGGGGGCTCCGTGGGGTCCCCCGACTCTCGCTAACCCCCCTCCCCTGTTGTCCCCACAGCAGTTGTGACGCCGGCCCCCTCCTCCGGACCGGACGGCTGACTTGATGGCGCCCTAACTGGGGGGGGACCGGGGGGCGGAGCTGACCCCCCCCCAGGACGCTCCCCACCGGGGGACCCCGGGCCGGACTCTGCCCAGTGATGTAATTATTTTACGTTATCCTTCCTTTTGTATCATGGATACCTCGGCGCAGAGACGGGGAGTGGGGGGATCTCGCTGACACCCCCGCCGGAGCCAGGGGGCGCCGCCCCCCCAGAACTGTGCCCCTCCGGATTCACCATGGACGTCTCGGGGCACCCCCGAGATACCAGCACAGCCAGATCGGCCGGACCAGCGCCCTGCACTGGTTGGACTTACTCTGGGGGGGACAGATTTCCCCCCCACACACACACACACTGCAGCCCTGCCCCTCTCTCCCCCGGAGCTGCACAGCTGCCTCTCCAGCCCGGGATGGGTTTTTTATAGGAATTGGGGGAACCACTTTGGGGTTTTTCGGGGGGGTTGTGAGGGGGGCAGCAGGGCTGGGGGGCGGAACCTGGTCTGTTTCCAGCCCGCCCCACAACACCCCTTAGGGGCCCAGCCCTGACACTAAACCTCTCTCTCTCTTTTTAGTGTTCCTATCACTGTCTATGGGGGGGTGGGGGGGGCGTTATTGTATTATGATTTTTTTATTATTATTAAACTTTGGAGGCTAATGGAGCTGTTTGGGGGGCTCCCGGGGGGCCCCCAGAGCTGGCTGCATTTCGGCGCCTCATCCCTGTGCTGCGTTTTATGGGGCTGTTCCCCAGTAGCCCCAGAGCTGGTCAGCCGCCTCCCAATTCCGGGAATCTGTTTACTTGGCCCCCATTTCCCCTGGGCTCAGCCATGCTCAGCGCCCCCCTCCACCACCCTGATCTGATCGGGGTGGGCTGGGATTGGCCCCCAGAGCCCTGGCCTGTGGTGGGCACGGGGGAGAACAGCTCTGGAGCTGCAGGGACAGAGGTGAAAGCTGGGACAACAGTAATTCGGGGGGTGGGGAGAGGGCTCCTTGGCGCGTTGGCAAGTGGGGGGCACTGGCTGAGTTATGGGGAGTGCCCAGGACTGGGGCAGTGCCAGGGCTCCCACGGGTTCCCTCTCCATTCATGCATCATCAAACTCGGCCCATCTCCACGGGTCTTGGGGGAGCACCAGGGCGAGATGGAGAGCGCCGGGTTCTTTAGTCCAGTCGAGCCCCTCGACTCAGGCTCAGTGGGGAGATGCGTTTGCGTCCGTGAGCGAGACGTCCTGCAGCGGAACATGGTCGTCCTCGCGAGGGTGTCCAGCGCCGGCTCCACCTGCAGCCTGGCTCGTCGATGCTCTGTCTGCTACTCGTGCCCATCTGCATGATGCCAGGTCCCATTCGCCCCCTCTTGGGCTCATAACTGAATTCTAAAACTTCGGGGGGAAAATCATGAGGCAAGGAATTCCACAGGTGAACTTCAAAACTACTGCTTTCTTGTGGCTGTGACACATTCTCAGCTCAGAAGGGACTGGTGATCTAGTCTGCTCTCTTGCATTGTGCAGGCCCAAGACCTGCCCCAAAATAATCCCTAGAGCCGAGCTTTTAGAAATCCAGCCCCGCTGGAGTTTGAAATGGCCGGGGTTGGCGAATCCGCCATGCCCCTTGGTCGGTTGTTCCCCTGCTTAATTCCCCTCAGCGTGAAACCTTATTTGCAGGTTGAATTTCTCTCGTTTCAGCTGCCAGCTGTTGGCTCGAGTGAGTTATGAAATACTCAGTTTCAGAGTAACAGCTGTGTTAGCCTGTATTCGCAAAAAGAAAAGGAGGACTTGTCGCACCTTAGAGACGAACCAATTTATTTGAGCATGAGCTTTCGTGAGCTACAGCACCGGATGCATCCGATGAAGTGAGCTGTAGCTCACGAAAGCTCATGCTCAAATAAATTGGTTCGTCTCTAAGGTGTGACAAGTCGTCCTCCTTCTTTTTATGAAATATTCGGTCCCTGCGTCACCTCCTCTGCGCTCAGCTAGGGAGTGGGCGTCTCGCTCTCAAGCAGGTTTTCTAACCCGCGTGGCTCTTCTCCGACCCCTCCCCGATGTCCCACCATCCACCGTGAGTTGTGGCTGTCCCGAACGACCTGCCGTATTCCGGGGGGGCGAACCACGGCCTTAAATAGTGTGAGATTTTCTGTCTTACTGTCTCTCCCGCCCTTCATGGTTCCAGTAGCTTTTCCGGCTGCTGCTGCCCATTGGGTGGATGCTTTCGGAGAACTAGCCCCGGTGACTGCCAGGTCTTCCGGGAGCATTACCCACGTGCGTTCCTTCGTCACTCGAAGAGACGGGGGAGGCCTGCTTTTCCCCTTCCCAGCACCGTGTTCATCCCTATGTCCGATGAGTCTGTTCTTTGCTGCAGTTTCAACCAGTGTGTCTGGTACTGAAGTTACCCAGCCAGGAATCACCTCTGGCGCCTCTTAAAAATCTGCATGGCTTGAGTTATCTGCTCGTCTGGTCCTGAGGCTGATTGGAGCAATCGGTTACATACCACGGTTAGCAGACTCCTCGACCCATAGGGGACCGCAAGGGGCACCTAGTCTGACCCCCAACCACGCTGCAGGATTTAAACCATCCAAGACAGATGGCTCCGGCCTCCGCTCGAAACCCTCCTCGAAGGAGCTTCCACGACCTCCCGAGTCCTCGGTTCTGTCGTCCTGCTGCTCTTCCCGGCCGGAAGTTTTCCCTGAGATTCAATCTCAGTCTGCTGTGCTGTAGTTTGAACCCACGGCCTCTCGGGCAAGAAAGAACGACCTGCCTCCATCTTTTCTATGGCAGCCTTTCGAGTATTCGAAGAGCGCTGTCAATCTCTTTTCCAAACTGAGCGTACCCAGTTCCTTGGCTCACGTGGCTGGCGTCCCTCCCCTTTGATCGTCTTTGGCGCTTGCCTTTGGATCCTACCCAGTGTCTCCACGTCCTTTCTGGGCGTTGGTGACCGAAACCGGACATCGTCCTCCAGCTGAGGCCTAGCCGTGACCCAGCCGAGCGGTCCTGTCCCCTCTGCGACTTGCAGCTACGCCTCTGTTAATGCAACCTAAAATTGCATGTTTTTTTTTTTTTTTGCAACAGCATCATGTGGCCGGGGTTGTGATCCACCGCCACTCCCAGCAGTGCTGCTGCCCAGCCAGTTCTGGCCCGTTTGGTACTGGTGCATTTGGTTTTTCTTCCCAAAGTGTAGCCCATTTTCCTTGATTTTCATTTTGTCGGCTCTAGCCCAGTTCTCCAATTTACCAAGATCCCGAGTGGTTCTGCAATTTCATAGCTGAACTCCTGTGGGACTCATGGGTGAATCCCACCTGTTCCTGGGGCCTTATTATGGTAAAATTTCTCAATTTCTTCCAAAACCTCCTCTCTGGACTCCTCAGACCTGTCCCCTGAACAGAATGGCTCGGGGGGGGCTCTCCCTCCCGCCCTCAGCGCTGATTTATGTATGTGGGCTGTAGGTTTAGTTTGAGCCTTTTATGCAGTTTTGAAAGAGTTTCCATGCAGCTCGCAGGCGTCTCACTCCTGTGTCTAATTTGCATGTCCCAAGTTCCCTTTCTGAGCTGGCTGCTTGGGTAGCGTTACGTTTCATCACATAGCGAGCGCTTCTGCTGTGTTCACCTCTCGCCCGGCTCTGGAAACTTCCTCGCCGCATCCCCAGTCAGTACGGGGACAGCTGGAATCCCCCCGTTATTGGGTTCCTGGTTTCGTCCCCTCTCTAAGCTGGAGTATTTCGCCCTGTGGTGCTGCTCTTACTGCTCAAGGGGGCGGCCTAGTCCGAGAGCTTGGATGGGTCAGTGTTTGATTCATTGAAGGTTTTTCCCTCTGCTTTTCTCATAGGGGCAGTTGCCCCCCAGCTCTGCCCTGCCTGGCCAGCATGTCTCTGGGATTAGCGGCACTCCAGGGAGCTTTGGGGGGTCCCTGTTCCATCAATAACGAGAGCTGTGGCCGTCAGCACCGCAGACCAGCCCCGGAGGGGGACTTCTGCCCTGCGACTGGGTCAGGCCTGTCCATGCAGAGGGTCCCCTGGGGGGTGAGGTGGAGCCAGGTTCCCCAAAGTCACCTCCAGCCCTGGCCTGGCCTGGCCTGGCCGCGAGGCTCTCTGCTGCCACCTGGTGGCTTTGACCCAACAGTGTTTCTAGTGCCTGGCTGCCCTGCGGGCGCGGGCCCCAGGCGACTGTGTGGGGCCTGGGGGCCGCCGATCGGCTGCCGTCCAACAGGCGGGCTCAAGGCCGGGCCGCGGGCTGGCCCGTCAATGTTAAGTCTTGGCGTGCAGGGGAAGCCCCAGGAGGTGGGACATTGAGCCCGGGCAGGGAAATGGAAAAGCCAGTACAGGCCTCGATTAAGAAAGGGGGGGCAATATAATCAACGCCAATCACCTGGTATGCAAATACTGCAGTCACTTCCCTGGGCAGCCTCTGTCCACCTGCCCCACACGTGCCCCCACTCCCCCCCCAGAGCTGGGGAGGGGACCCAGGAGTTCTGGCTCTGTGGGGGGGGTGCTGACTGGTTTGGGGTGTGTGTGGAGGGGTGGCTGGCTCAGGGCCCTTCTCCCGCCGCCGCCAACTAACCAAACAAGCCCAAATTTTACAAAACAACCAAAAAAAGCCCCAATTTTATTGAGTGGCTCCCCCACGGCTGGTTTGTTTCAAAAGCAACCCCCTTGGCTAGGAAAATGCAGCGACACCCCCCCCCCGCCAAGCAGATTACAAAAGCTAAGCAGCACCACTTGGCAACTGTTTACCCCTTTGAGACTGATTCCCCCGGCAGGGGACAGGACATATTTGGGGGGAGGGGAAGTAGACTAATTCCTCCCCCCCCCCCCAAAAAGGAGTGGAACAACTCGGGGGGGGGGGGGGTAGAGATGAGCCTGGATTAGGAAGTTAAAGGAGGGGCTGGAGTGTGTGTGTCCATCCCCACCCTGGTTACAGCCCCTCCCCCACCATAGTGTTAACCCCTGCGGGGGATGGGGTAGCAATACCCCCCCCCAGGCTAGGCACAGGGCAGGGCGGAGCCAGGAGGCACTTAGCATAGGCCCTACATAAACACACCAGGCACCAGCAGGGACCCCAGCCTGCTGGCGGGCCCCTCCCCCATAACCATCCCTGAGCAGGAAGTGGGGGGAGAGCTGTCAGAATTGGGGGGCAGGGCCATGGATGCCAGGAGAAGACAGCGTTCCCTGGGGGAGTGGGAGAGGAGGACAGGAGAGGGGCTGAGAGCTGAGATGTGGACCCCCTGGGGGACAGGACTGGGGGGCTGAGAGAAGGGACAGGGTGGCCGGGGGGGCTGGGAGACAGGACGGGCCGTGGGCCCTGGGGGGAGGGGGCCCCTCTCACTCGTCAAGGTGCTGCTTGAACGGGTTGTCATCGGCGCCGCCCTGCAGGGCGCAGTACACGTACACCAGGAAGGCTGCGAGCGCGCCGAAGAGCAGCAGCTGCAGCCAGAGAGGCAGGTAGCGCCGGGAGCCTCCCCCTGTGCCCCCCCCAGGGCCTCCGCGGGGCAGGGGGTGGATGGCACGGCGTGGCTCCACCCGCATGGGGGGCGGGGCAGGGCGGGCCCGGCAGACCCGCTGGTAGGAGATGCCGTCCCTGCAGTGGGGGGGAACCAAAGGGGGGCAGCAGTTAGTGCTCACAGCCTCCCACACACGCCACAGTATCCACTCATACGCCCCCAACTCACCCCCCCCCCAGGAGGGGGGACCCCAAACAGGTACCCAACCCAGCCACAGCCCCCCTTCTGGCACATGTCCGTGACCCGGTCTCACCTCTCAGTCTCCTCCGTCCTGCTCGGGGTGTAGGATGCGGCCTCTCCGATCTGCAAGGAAAAGCACCATCAGCGACCACCAGGCGATGGGGGGCAGCAGGTGCTGTCCAGCTATGGGGCAGAACCCCCTGTTCAGGGGCAGCCAGGTAATACAGGCAATGCATGCCCTCATTTGCATACTCCAGCTGTGCCTAGGGAGTAATTTGCATATCCCCTCCACAGTGGTGGTGCTGAATACAAGCCCTAAACTGGCCACATCCTGCACCCCCAAACTGCTACCTACTGTTGTGGGAACAGCAGGTACTAGGAGAAGAAATGAGATACTTACTGTGAGAGGTCTGGGGGGTACAAATGGGGGAGGGGGCAGCTCACCCTAACTTAACAGTGGGCCAGGATTACTAGGTACGTAGGTGCCTTACGGTCCCTCCCTTTGATAACAGAGGAGAAAGATTTAAAGTGTCCTTAATTTAGTGTCATTTAAATCCCTTCGAAAGGGGAATAAAATAAACTGAATTAAGGGCACATCTGTAGTTGGTGCATGGGAGGAAGTGTCTACACCACGCCAGCGGAAGGTGTTTTCCCCGCCCTCTGCTGCGGGCGCCTCTCCAAGAGACGGCGGCGAAGAATTCTTCTGGGGCCTGAGCCGCGTCCGCACCCGCAGTGGGGTCAACCTCACTGCGGCACGCCGTTTCGCACAGCCCCCCTGTGACGCAACCAGCTTGCTGTAACTTTTAGGCGTAGACCGGCCTGGACTTCACACGTTTGAGACCTTGCTCAGAAATAGAAAGGGAGGAACTCAACTTGTGGGATTCAATTTTCATTTGCCACAGAGTCGTCCACAAATCCAACGGGAAGGAGTCGATTTTTAGCAGTAGATCCCAGTGAGCCTCAAGTTCCCCAGACACACACAACCCAAAAATAGAATAAAATTGGATAATAGAAATATATAGCTGGGAGCGCGCCTTAGATAGAATTTATTTACGGGGACTTGCGTTCTATATTTGGATACGGGATGTTGACAATTGGTGTTTTAACGGTTATGAAGTTTACATTTTTCAATCTCCCTGTCTAGGGTCATCAAATAATTCTAGTCTCCCATCCCCTGACCCCTGCTCTTCCCCCCCCATAACTGCCTGCAACTGTGCAAATTTAAATAGACTAAAAAAAAAATTTTTTTTAAATGCTCAAAACCCAGAATTTAGCCCAGCTGTGATGATGTAGCAGGCGAGTCTCTCGAGGTGGGGATTTGGCAGTTGTTTGGAGGGCAAACGGAGAAACACTGGCTGAGTCTTCGCAAGCCCAGCCAACCCCCCCGGGCCAAGCGACTTTCAAAAGCTGGCCTGAGCGTGCGTGGCCGGACTAGGAACGAGGGCAGCCAGGGCGTCATGGGCCCGTCGATGCTGCCCTGGGCTCACTCTCAGGTTCGGGCCCACACCCCTCGACAGTCCACACGCAAATGGAGACTGTTAGAAAACCCTCAGACCCGGCTACGCAGGGTGGGGCCAAGCCCTGCCATGTGCCATGCGGACGCAGCTCAGCGTCAGCCGGGAGCCCCGGGGCCGGCAATTGTAAACCCAGGGTCCCAATGCAGCGTGATCGCCCGCCTGGCAATTCCAGCCGGGCTTTGCAATGGGGACACCCAACCGGGCGAACTGCGTCTCCAGGGGAGAGCGCCAGGGCTGGGCACACCACAGAATCTCTCCTCATGCGGACATGGGGGCGGGCAGTGTGCCTGTGTCTTTACATGTTCCTAGTCAGTATTACATTATCTCACACCGGCGGGTCCTTTCTGTCTGGATCGCAGACATCGCCTGAGAACAACAAATCTCTCGAGAGGCTCTAAAACCAGCGGATCAAATTCAGAAATCGCTTCAGCAACTGGTCTGGAAAACGTCACCCGGCTCGACTTTCAGTGGCTTCAGAACCCCGTCAGCCGGGCAAGAAATCAATTGTCAGTTACCCCTAAAATGGACGTTCTCCAAACAATTATTTTTTTTGGTTAGAAAAGGGTCTTTTGGGGGGGAAATCTCATCGTTTTCAGATGGTGACATCATCTCACGAGGCGGAATGGCAGGTCTTTTCTGTCTCAATCTCAAACGGCCGGTTAAAATAATGTGACCGCCGTGAGAGAATAGAAAATGACCCGAAACTGGCAGGGGAACCAAATTTCCAAGCAAAATTTTCCCCCAAAATAATTAAATTCAATTTTGAAATGAAGTTTCCTGAAACTCACTTTTGTGGGTTATATTTTACACCCCCCCCATTATCAACCCGTCTTATCACACCACGTACACGAAGAAAGTCCACGCTATCACCAGACCAGTATCTCGTAGAGACATCTCTAGCAGTTCCCTGCCCTGAACCGGCCCCCGTCTCCCGATCACCCTGTTCAAATACGTGACATCTTCCCGACGCTTTGCAGAGCTGAAGTCGGTTTTGCTCTTCGAAAAGGAGAAGTTTGTCCCAAGTACATGAACGTTCGGCCCCAGGTCAAGCTGGGGGGGTATGTGGGAGGCCCGTGGACAGAGCCGGGATGGTTTTAGGGACGGGGAGAGGCTGGTAAATTGTCAATCCTAGAAACACGGGCGTCATTTTGGGAGCTCCCCGCGTCAGGGGGACGTAACATCACGGCACGAGGCATCCCGGACATGGGCAGCGTTTCTGTCCGCACTAAACTCTCTGGCTTTAAGCACGACCCTGAGGCCGGTTCTCTCTCTTTCCTACAGGGTCAAACTGCTGACGGGACAATTTATCCACCAGGCCAAAAATCATCCCCCCCGGGGAAGTTATATCGGTTTCTAGACAATTGCGCCAAAATTCAGGTCCGGCTGCGCTGGGCCCAACATCACCCGGCAGCAAACAGTTTAAGGTTCGAGTTTTTCAGGCCAGGCCAGCGGCCGAATCCAGGATTGCCCCATGGTGCTGGGACGGGGGCAGAGTTGGGGGTCGGAGGTGATAGGATAGCGGGGAGTGAGGGGACTAGAAAGCTGGCAGTGCTAAAGGGGGGGTACACCTATTTCCACCCCCCAGTGCCTTCTGCCTTTCCCAGGCCAGGCTGCCCCCATCCCTGGGATCTTATCTGGGGAGCTTACGTCCCACCCACCCCGTCCTGCCCCCCCCGGGGCTGACTTACTGGCTGGCGGGTGGTGGCTTCCCCCAGGCGACTTGGGGCTGCACCAGAGAGCCAGGAGGAGGAAGAGGAGGAAGATTCTTCGTAGGACTCGGTGTCCACATCTGGGGGGGGGAGAGAGGAGTGGGGTGAGATGCGGTGCTGGGCACGGCTCTCCCCTTCCCCACTAGAGCTCCACCCCTGGAACTCCCTGATGCAGGAATGTGAACATGGCCCAGGGGTGGGGTGTCAAGCCCAGGCCAGGGGAATCATACCAGATTTCTCCCCCCACATCCTCGCTGCTCTGTATCCCCCCCTTGCCACCCCCCACCAGAGGAAATACTTCCCCGACGCCCCCCGGCTCCCCTCTCACCATCCCCCAGGTAGCCGGTGCGACCCTCACGACGAGGGAAATCATACAGCTCCCGCGTGTACATCCTGGTGGGGCTGGAGTCTGGGGGGGCAGAGAGACACAGGAGGGGTCAGCGGGGGGCACCTCCACGCCCCACCCCCACAGCAGACAGGGACATTCAGACACCTCAGCCAAGGCACCCCAAGCCTGGGAAAACTCTGCCAGTGCCCCTCACTCCCGACCCACAGCCCCCTGCTCACCCAGCCCTGTGCCCCCCCGCCCCGCGGCCCCCTCTCACCGTCCGCCCCATAGCCGCGCCGCTCCTCCTGCCGGGGGTAGCTGTAGGATTCCCGGATGTAGGTCTCGGTGGTGCCAGGACCTGGGGGGGGGAGAGACACACAGGAAAGGGGGGGCTGTCAGTGGCTGTGACTGCTGGCCCCTCCACACCCCCCCGGACCCCCACTCACCTGAGTAGCTCCCAGCCCCCACCGAGGGTGACAGCCTGGTGCGCTGGCTCTCGTATTCGCAGATCTTCCTCTCGTAGAGCTTCCGGGTCGATCCTGGGGGAACAGGAGGGGGAGACGGGGGGGGTCAGGTGGGCCCCCATGGTGCCCTGCCCCTCCCCCACAGACGGCATCTGCCCCCGCCCCATAATGCTCCCGGCCCCTCTCCAGAGACCCCCCCTTCCCCCGCAGCCCCCCGACTTCCCCCCCTCCCCAGAGACCCCCCTTCCCCCGCAGCCCCCCGACACCCCCTTCCCCCGCAGCCCCCCGACTTCCCCCCTCCCCAGAGACCCCCCTTCCCCCGCAGCCCCCCGACTTCCCCCCCTCCCCAGAGACCCCCCTTCCCCCGCAGCCCCCCGACACCCCTTCCCCCGCAGCCCCCCGACTTCCCCCCTCCCCAGAAACCCCTCCTCCTACAGCCCCCCAACTTCCCCCCTCCCCCTACAGCCCCCCCTACAGCCCAACTTCGCCCCCGCCCAGCACCTCCCTCCCCCCGCAGCCCCCCCACTCCCCCGAGGCCCCTCCCCCCAGCGCCCCCCGTACCCACGACGGGCCCGTGCGGGATGCCGTAGCGCTGCAGCATGGCGATGAGCTCCGTGTCCGTCAGCCCCCGGTACCGCTCCATGGCCCGGCCGGGGGGGGGGCGGGGGTCAGCACGGGGGGGGCAGGGCCCGGGGGGGCCGCGGGGGGCTGTGGGGGGGGGGCGGGAGCCGCGGTTCCGGCGCGCGGAGCAGGCCCAGGACGGGAGGCGCCAGCGGCGAGGGGAAGTGACACGGGGGGGGGAGGGTCCGGGACTGGGCAACGCCCCGCCCCTCTCGCCCCGCCCCTGGCAACGGACCGCCGTGGCTAGCAACGCCCCGTCCAGCGCGCCCCGCCCCTGGCAACGCCCCGCCCCTCTCGCCCCGCCCCTGGCAACGGACCGCCGAGGCTAGCAACGCCCCGTCCAGCGCGCCACGCCCCTGGCAACGCCCCGCCCCTCTCGCCCCGCCCCTGGCAACGCCCCGCCCATATCCCAGCGCGCGGGAGCGGCCGGAGGCCCTTGTGCAAGCTTCTGCCCCTCCCCCCCCGTCTGCCTCAGTTTCCCCACTTGGCTAGTAGCTACCGTGGGAGTCCCGGGGCTCCGTGAATTCGTGTTGCCCCAGAGCTGGGGGGAGGGCTGGGACCCAGCCCGGGACGCCTCGGTCCCATCTGTGCTGTGGGAGGGGAGTGGGTGGGGTCTCATGGGGGCGGGAAGGGAGCGGGGGGGGCAGGGAGCCAGGACGCCTGGGTTCCCAGGAGCTGGCAGGGCGTTCCCCCCACGCGCCCCAAGGGAAGCAGACTCAGAAAAGAGCCCTGGTGACTCATCGCTTTGCCTGGGGCGGTTTCGATTTCCCCAGGAGGGAGGCCCCGGCCCCCGCCCCGACCTGACAAGTGACCGGCCCTCAGCACTCCCTGGCGCCGCCCCAAGGAGCTCACACAGCGCCAGGCAGCTGCTAAGGAGACACCTACCAGCCGGGAGACGAGCTATCTGCACACAACAGAGGGGAAACTGAGGCACACAGCCAGGGAAAGGCTTAATTGCAGTCACTTGGTGGGTGAGTGATGAAGAACCCAGAAGTCCTGGCTCCCAGCCCCCCCTGCTCTAACCACTAGCCCCCACTCCCCTCCCAGGACCAAGGAGGGAACCCAGGAGTCCTGGCTCCCAGCCCCTCTACTCTAACCACTAGCCCCCACTCCCCTCCCAGAGCAGAGGGGAGAACCCAGGAGTCCTGTGTCCCAGCCCCCCTGCTCTAACCACTAGCCCCCACTCCCCTCCCAGGACCAGGGAGAGAACCTAGGAGTCCTGGCTCCCAGCCCCCCTGCTCTAACCACTAGCTCCCACTCCCCTCCCAGGACCAGGGAGAGAACCCAGGAGTCCTGGCTCCCAGCCCCCCTGCTCTAACCACTAGCCCCCACTCCCTTCCCAGAGCCAGGGAGAGAACCCAGGAGTCCTGGCTCCCAGCCCCCCTGCTCTAACCACTAGCCCCCACTCCCTTCCCAGAGCCAGGGAGAGAACCCAGGAGTTCTCATTGCTCTACCCCTTCCAAGGGGTCCCTGTATAAACAGCCCCGCGCCCTGCCCCAGAGGCAGCCGCATCGCTGGCTTCCGCTCACACGCCTCTTCCTCCCCAGCCATGCTGGCCCCCCAGGATTTCCAAACCTTCGTCTTCTTCGACCTGGAGACCACTGGCCTGCCCCCGGACCGCCCCCGCATCACCGAGCTGTGTCTCTTCGCCCTGCACCGCCGCTCCCTCCTGCAGCGCCCCCTGCAGGATGACGACACCGGCGCCCCCCAGCTGCCCCGCATCCTGGACCAGCTGTCCCTGTGCATCGACCCCCAACAGCCCGTCACCCCGGCAGCCGCCCGCATCACGGGGCTGAGCCAGCAGGGCCTGGAGGAGAACGGCAAGCAGGGCCTGGACCAGGCTGTGGCTCAGGCCCTGGGGGGGTTCCTAGCCCGCCAAGCCCCCCCGCTCTGCCTGGTGGCCCACAACGGCTATAGCTACGACTTCCCCCTGCTGCGGACGGAGCTGGGGCGCGTGGGGGCTGAGCTGCCCCCCGCCACCGGCTGCCTGGACACCCTGCAGGCCATGAAGGAGCTGGGCCTGGGGGGCGAAGGAGGGTACAGCTTGGGGGCGCTTTTCCAGGCGCTCTTCGGGAGGGACCCCGACAGGGCACACTCGGCCGAGGGAGACGTCCGCACCCTCGTCGCCATCTTCCTCGCCAGGGCGCCACAGCTGATGGGCTGGGCGGCGGGGAAGGCCCGGGACTGGGGGGACGTGAGCCCCATGTACCTCCCCACCACGCAGTGAGCGCCAAGAACCCAGGCGTCCTGGGCTCTGGGAGGGGAGTGGGGTCGGAGCCAAGATGCAGCCCTGGCTCTCGGAAGGGAGTGGGGTCTGGTGGTTAGAGCAGGGTGGGCTGGGAACCAGGACACCTGGGTTCTCTCCCCAGCTTGGGGAGGGGAATGGGGTCTGGTGGGTTAGAGCAGGGGGGTGGGAACCAGGACACCGGGGTTCTCTCCCTGGCTCTGGGAGGGGAGTGGGGTTTGATGGTTAGAGCGGGGGGGTGGGAACCAGGATGCTCGGGGAGGGGAGTGGGGTCTGGTGGGTTAGAGTGGGGACGTGGGGCTGGGAGCCAGGACTCCTGGGTTCTCTGTGGATGCCTCTCACGGTTCATTAGATCGTCAAAGGATCTGGAGTTGGGTAATGAAATGATTGTATTGAGCAGCTGCTTTTAATGGGGGGGGGAAGCTCCCCCCGCGGTTTTACTGTTAATAAATACACTCCAGGCCCTGGGCCGCATGCTTTGCTGAGTTAAGACTTCATGTCTGGTTTGGGGCCCTGGGGGAAATCGGGGTGCAGGTGTCCAGCATGTGACCGTCACCCCAAAAGACTGCAGTTCCCAGGTCCACCAGCAGAGGGCAAAGGGTCCCAGTATTAACAGCCCCTGTGCCCCACCCCAGAGGCAGCTGCATCTCGGCGCTGGGCGAAGGGTCCCTGTATAAACAGCCCCCCCCAGCCCTGGAAATCAGACTGGAGAAGTGTTGAAAGGTTTTTCCCTCTTTCTCTTTTTATTTGGTTTTTATTACTTTTGTTCTCTATATTTTGGGGGGCACGCTGGGGGAATGATGGCGGGGGGGCTTCGTTGTTTGATTAGTTTGTCCTTGTCTTTGTTTTGTCGACGTCGGTTTTCTTTTGGCGGAGATGGGAGGAAAAATAAATCTCACGACACCGAGCGAGGGGGGGGCCTGAACGAACGAACCAAAACTCACGAGCACGGCACGAATTGGAGCACAGACATGGCGTATAGAGATATATAGGGGTGCTTCCGGGGGGGGGCCCCAGGGACGGGCGAGGGCTGGATGGAGGGGCTAAGAGGGGAACGGATAGGGAGAGTGGGTGGGTGGGGAGAAAGAAGGGATGTGTGGGGATGTATGGGGTAGATAGATAAATATGGGGGTGTACGGGGATAGACAGATAGGGGGGTTGGTAGGGAAGGGATCGATGTATTGATGGCTATATAGATAGGCTGTCCCCGGACACCTGGGTTCTACGTCACCTTCCCCACACCCCCTCCAGTGGAAATCGGGGTACCGTGGGAAGGCCCCAGTCTCCCCCCCACCCGGACTGGTCACTGCAGAAGGGGCATGGATTGGGGCTGACGGGTGCTGTCTGGGGATGGTGCCCCTCCCCCACTTCCTAGAATCCCCCCCTCGCCATGTGACACCCCCCGGCGGGAAATGGGGTGGGGATGGAGGCCCTAAATTACCCCCCAGCGGCCTCCACATGCCCTGTGTACCCCACTCAGTTCCAGTCCCCCCAAACATGCTGGAGCCCCCAAATATCCCCCAAGCTGCTGATACCCCTGAAACCCCAAATCTCCCCCACAGCCATCAAGAGAGATCTGAACCCCTGACCCCTCCTTAAAGTGGGGCACGGGGCACAGCTATCTACAGCCAGGATTGAGGGGGGTGAGGGGAGCACAGAGTTAGCGATACTCAGGGGATGGGGGCACTGAGGGTGTGTGCGGGGTAGTGGGGGGCAGGGAGGCGGGGGTCACACAACTGTCTAGAGTGGGGGGGTGAAAAGGCAGGAGTGGGGTGCTGGGGGCAGTGCAGGAGTTGGGGGCAGGGAGGCAGGGGGGCACAGCTGTCTGGAGTTGGGGTGCTGGGGGCAGTGGGGGAGGTGGAGGGCAGGGAAGTGGGGGGGTGCACAGCTATCTAGAGTTGTATTTTCTCATATATATATATATATATAATATATATAAACAGCACAAACATCTACATTCATCCTGGGGTCCCCCCGCCAGCCCCCACAGGAGGGGACATGGGGGGGGCAGGGCAGGACTGGCGTCTCCTCCTCACGACGCCCCCTGCTGGGGGAGAGACCTGGGGGGAGAGAGAAAGAGAAAGACAGAGGAGGGGTAATTAATAAGAGCACACCCAGCTAGCGCCCCCTGCTGGCCAGGCACCCACGTCATGGATTGCCCCCCGCCGCCCTTCACTCACCGGGGCTCTATCCTGGCTCTGGGAGGGCAGTGGGGTCTAGTGGTTAGAGCAGGGGGCTGGGAGCCAGGACTCCGGGGTCCTATCTCTGGCTCTGGGGCGGGGGGAGGGGGGTGCAGTGGGCAAGACCCAGTTCCCACTATGAAATACAAGATGCTAAAACAATTATAAGGCAACCCCCACCTGGCGCGCTGTTCCCCTTCCTTGGGGGGTCCATCTGGGACCAGATCGACTCTGCCAAACCTTCCTGCACTCTGCAGCAGACACCCTCCAATTATAACAACTGAGCAGAGGGCGTGAGATCCCTGACTAAACAGCTCTCCCCAGAAGCAGCCGCATCTTAGTGCTGGGAGCCCTGTATAAACAGCCCCTGGGCCCCACCCCAGAGATGGCTGCATCTCAGCCTCTCCTGCCATTTTTATGCCCTTCCACTCTCCAAGTGGCCCCACTCTGCCCAGTGATCTCTACCCACACACCACTGTTCTCGTGGGGGAGGGCACGGCCTGCTGCTAGAGGAGAAGGGGGGGGCATGGATCAGGACAGAGGATCTGTGGGGTTTTTGGCACCTGGCCCTGAGAATCAGGCCGACGCGGATACAAAGCAGTCATGGTCCCACCCCAGCGCAGTGGGTCTCCTAAATATCAACTCACGCCATGGCCCCTGAGGGCCCGAGATGGTAATTTATGGCTTGCCGCAGGCCACGAGCCATTGCTTTCCCACCGCCTGGCCGTTGAGACATTAACAAAATAGCTGACGGCTGTTACGAGACTCTTAATGTGACCCAATACAGCAGGGAAAAGAGGGAAGTGAAGCAAACACGGTGAGCGGGGTGTAAGGGGAAAATATTGTAACCGTAGGGCTTAACCGCCGGGGAGAGTCTGTTGCGTTCAGACTGATTTCTTAAGGCTCAAGTGAAGAAAGATGGCTATGCCTTGCCATCAAACAAGCTTATGCTATCACCACAGCTAGGCCAGGAGAGCCGCTGAATAAAAGGGAGTGAAACCATTACAGGGACGCTCGATCAGAACGGAGCAATCAGCAGCGTCACCGACCCATCAGCACCCAGATCAGTCCCGAGCTCCTGCCGAGGTCAGGAGAAAAGAAGATTGGCAGGATGTATGGGAAACGGGGTGTCAAAGTTAGCCGTGGAGGGTGAGAGAGAAGGGTTGGAAGGCCCCAGAGGAGATGGGCGGCTGGCGCACAATCAAAGCTGTGGCCTGACGTGTCTTACACCAGCACCTCTGGCAAGGCAGGTCGCACAAAGGGGCTGGAACACAGTGGCTCCGGCTGCGAGGATGCCTCGTGCCCGGGCTGGATGGCCTCCCGCTTCGGCTGGCCGTCTCTAATCTTCACAGGGCCTGGCCCAGACCAGCACCTCCAAGAAGAGGAACCAGCTTGGGGCACCCAGCCGGGCCCCTTCCTGAAAGCCTGAAAATGACCAGACCCTGTCCCTGACTCCCGCTGCGAACAGTAACCGAGCTAACGGTGGGTGGGTCCTCGTAGGGCCTATGACGAGTGCCGTGTCTTGTCTGCTCGCAGAAGCCGGGCCAATCAAAGACGTTTCCCGCCCCGTCTTGTCTGTCTAATATCCTGAGGCCGACATGGCTACACCACGGAGAGGAGCGAATGGGGGCTGGGGCCTTGGGGGGAAGAGGCGGGGCAGGGTCTTGGGGAAGGGGTGGGGGCATGGCCTCAGGGGAAGGGGTGGGGTGGGGCATCAGAGAGAAGGGGCGGCGTGGGGCGGGGCCTCAGAGAGCAGGGCGGGGCCTTGGGGGCATGGTGGGAGGCAGGGCCATGGTTCGGGCACCTGTGGACCCTCCCACTTTCAGGGCGCTCCCTGGTATCAAACAGGTAGAGAAACACTGCTCTGCCCCCCAATATATAAAAATCGCTTTTGTCCGCGCAGCCCACGGAGATCAAGGTGGATTTTGCCGAGGATGGTGCAGATAATGGGCAAGTGACAGAAATGTGGCTAGAGACCAGGTACAAATGTCGGACGACCTCGGACAGCAGGGGCAGACAGCCTGGGGCTGAAATCTTAGGGTACGAACGACACGAAGCTGGGGGAGTTTTGCACCCTTAGGAACAGCCTAAGATTTACAGGTCTCTATCCGCAGAAGAGTCCACGCTCCTGGGTGTACGCCTGGATTGACGGCGCTCTGTCTGTCTGTATTTGTGCTCGTCTGATCTTTGACCGGCGTTTCTGGAGCGGAGAGTTTGCGGCTCAAAGCTGCAGGTGACACCAGGCTGGCAGAGGTGGCCACGCCACTGGGGAACTGAAAACGACCAGGACAAATTAGAGAACGGGGCTGAGTGCGACAAGATGACGTTCAAACTGAGCTGAGCGTCAGAAGGAAAAGTCCGATGCCAGGGGGCATCGCCGGCTAATGGGAGGGACAGCTGAAGAGGATCTGGAAGTTAGAGCAGCTCACAGATTGAAGGAGAGCCTGCCTCAGGATGCAGCCACGAAAACGGCTAAGATCGTTCTGGGCGTGTTAGCGGGAGCGTTGTACGTCAAGCACAGGGGGGCGTCGATCCCGCGATGTTCTTGGCGCCGGGGCACACTGGCCCCGCAGATGAGCGTCAACGATTGGGGTTCGATCCAAGGCGTTTTGGCCGCAGGGTCACCACCTGGCTCAGGGTAAAAGGACACTCGCAACACAGAGGTTGGACTTTGGCCCAGAACGGGTGCCACCCCCCTTTTTTTCAGTAGCCAGATGCCTTGGGGAGCAATTTAACAAGACAACGGATCTATTCTATGGAGTGGAAAAAGCTAACGCAGGCAAAACTCCAGCGCGCTAAGAAATATAAATCACATCCGCGGGCAAACACGGGGCATTCGCCTCCTTTGCAAGTATAATCTTTGTTATAGACGTGGCTTGGCTCCTGCGTGCTGCTGACCTGAAACTGGGCAGCAAATTAATCAGCCAGGAGATGTGCTGTAAAGATTGTCCCAGCGTCCCTGGGCAGGTGCCGCTCAAGATTGCGGGAAAGCTGCTCCGAAATGGAACAAGTTCCTCTTGACTGGGACACATCCCGCCAGGCTTAACAGTTTCCTGCGGCCTCACGAGCTCTAGGTGAGGACAATTCACCATGGAAACAATTTCCCACGGCTCGTGGGGGATTCTCCATCATGGGCAATTTTAAAATCAAGATCTAAGAGATCTGCTCTCGGAATTATTTGGAGGAAGTCCTGTGTGATACAGGAGGTCAGACTAGATAATCCCGACGGTCCCTTCTGAGAATCTGGAACAGACCCGAAGAAGCACCCGTTTCTAATGTGATCTGTTGGAACTCCTCGCCTCATGAGTTTTTGGCCTGAGGTTTTAGGAGAAGTCAGTATAGAGCCAGGGAAGGAGGAGAAAGGCCACAGGTGCGACACAGGAGGACAGAGGAGATGAATCTATTAATATTTCATGGGGAAGTAGGTTAAAAGGTTGACTACAGATCCAATGGGAACAAGACCTTAGTGTCTTACGTTTAGATCTGGATTCTTTTTCCTCTATTGTGTTAGCAACACTACATTTGATAAGCAACTGGCACAAGCCAGGGACTATTCTGCGGATCTCTTAGCCACAAAATTCGAAAGAAAGTCCCCTTCCCAAGATGGTGACGGAGGATAAGTGTTATTTGTTCCTGTGCGTTATTTGAATCTGGGGTTTATCGACCGAGTGTCTGGTTTATGTTAGCCAACTCGCAGGGCAACCCGATTTTTGCATCCTTATGTCTTGCGCGATTAGTTGCTGTTGTTTTGCATAGCAAAGAAAGCTCCATAAAATTAAATCCAACGCTCCAGCCCGTTTTCTTTAGCGAAGCAGTCAAAATGGAAAGAACCTTGAGAAAGGTGATGCCGGTAATTAGTTAATATGGGATTTGGCAGAATTTGATTTGTTTTTAATATAATTTTGATGGACAATACTGATGGTTATTTTTAAGCTTTTTTTTTTTTTAATTTTTACCTATTTAAATTTTCACCACTGTGCAAAGTTTCGGGTTTTCAGCCATTTTTGAAACCAGTGTGAACCTTCACAGGTAAAATTATGGATTTTAAGCATTTGTATTTTTTCATGTTATTGATTGAAATTTTAACAGCCAGGCCCTCAAGCAATGTTTCCATTTTCACTGATTTAAATTTTCACGGCTGTGCACCATTCCATGGTTTAAGCACTTTTTTGTATTTTTACCAATTTAAATTTTCACCATCAAAGCGACGGGTTTTCATCTTTTCTCCGATTTCAGGTTTCACAGCTGTGCACAATTCAAAGTGCTTAAAACCCATTTCCTTTTCACCAGTTTCAATTTTCACCCTCAGACTGACGGGTTTTGATCTTTTCACTGATTTAAATTTTCACAGCGGTGCACAATTACGGGTTTTAAGTCCATTTTTTATTTTTCCTAATTTCAATTTTCCCCGTTCTAATTACGGGGTTTAAAGGTTTTTTCAATTTTCATCCATTTAAATTTGCACAGTTGTGCAAAACTACGGGCTTTAAGCCCTTCTTATTTTAAATTTTATTTTGTTGCCAATTTCAATTCTCGCAGATGGAAGTACTTTTTCCCATCTACGGTTTCACAGCTGTGTCAAATTATGGGCTTTAAGCATTTGATTTTTCCCTTTTTCAATTCTCACAGTTGCAGGAAATTCTGGGGACAGGTCAGACAACGAGAAGGGGCCAAACATTAATTATTTACTGACAACAGATGTTGCAACTGAAAACGGTAAAGCTTTATAACCGAGAAAACACCTATTTGTCCCCAGTGTGTGTCAGAATATACAAAGTCAGCAGTAACCCAAACTCTCCTTCTCAAGCAGGATTTATCTTGCTTTGCCTGTGTGTCCATTTTGATTCTTGACGGACATATTTTGTTTGTTCGTTCAGTTTGTTCGTCTCCGGTGACGTTTACGGATACCAATAGATCCCTTCCCAGTTTGCCTATAGCTGTGGGGGAGGGATAGCTCAGTGGTTTGAGCATTGGCCTGCTAAACCCAGGGTTGTGAGTTCAGTCCTTGAAGGGGCCATTTAGGGATCTGGGGCAAAAATTGGGGATTGGTCCTGCTTTGAGCAGGGGGTTGGACTAGGTGACCTCCTGAGGTCCCTTCCAACCCTGATATTCTATGATTCATGGATTTCAAGGCCAGAATTGTCCATTGCGAATATCGACCCTGAAGTCCTGTATCACCCAAACTGCAGAACGGCCGCCAAATAATTCCTAGAATTGGTCTTTTAGAACGTCCCAGCTTGACTGAAAAGTCGCCCGTGATGGGCAACCCACCGTGACCCTTGGTCAGATTGTTCCAGGGGTGAATTACGCTCACCGTTAAAAGTGGACACCTGATTTCCAGGCTGAATTTGTCCAGCTTCAACGTCCAGCCACCGGATTGTGTTAACCCTTTGAGTGCTAGGGTGGAGAGCCCGTTACTAAATATCTGTTCCCCCTGGAGACACTTCGAGACAGGGATCAATTCACCCCTTCACCTTCCCTTTTTTCAGCCAAACAGCTGGCGCTCCTGCCGTCTCTCGCTGTCTGGCATTGAATCATTCTCGTGTGATTGATCCACATCCTCCCTGAATTGCGGGTACTGGAACCGGACGCGGGATCCCAGTAGCGGCAACACCAGGGCCAGATCCGGAGGCCAAATCACCTCTCTGCTCCCACTCGAGAGTCGCCTGTTTATACACCCCAGGGTCGCCCTAGTGCTGTGGGCCCCGCATCCCCCATGCTCCCCAAATCCTGCGTTCCCTGCTCCTGTCTCTCTCCCACGGCACACACAACGCAACCCCCCCATCCCGGCACCCCAGTTTAACTCACCCGCCTACATCTGGTTGGAGAAGGAAGTGGGGGCAGCCTGGCCGTACCCCCCCTGCTGGCTGTAGGGGTCGGGCTGCCCGTAGCCCTGCTGGTTATACTCCGGCTGGTAGCCGCCTTGCTGGCCGTACGAATCCTGCTGCACGTAGCCAGAGCCCTGGTTGTAGGAGTCGGCGTAGGTGTCCGGAGCCGGCTGCTTCTCCGGGGCGGCCGGCGGGTACTTGGCAAAGGGGGCGCTCCAGCCCGTCTCCTTAAACACGAACCAGAGATTTCCTGTCCACAGCACCAGGTTCAGGAAGCCAAAGACCTGGGTGGGAGGGGAGAAAGAGCGCGGGAAGGAAGGGTTAATGCATAGAGGGCAGGAGGTCCCCTCTAGGGGGTGCTGGCTCCCATCTGGCCCCAGGGTGGGGACTAGCTGGCTCAGGGGGCTGGGGAATGGGGCACAGAGCCTGTCCCCTCTAGGGGGCGCCGGTTCCCATCCGGCCCCAGGTCAGGTCCTGGCTGGCTATGGGGGGCAGGGAATGGGGCACAAGGCCTGTCCCTTCTAGGGGGCGCCAGCTCCCCTCAGGGGGTCTGGCTGGCTGGGGAAGGGTCTCACCACGGAGGTGTTGAGTCCTGAGATGATGGGGTCCTTCAGCTCTTTGCACGTGTTCCCCTCTTTTTTGCAGACCTCCAGCCCCTCGATCACGTTGTCGGGGTCCGTTGCTAGCTTGACGTCGGAGAGACCCTTGGCCCAGGCACACGAGCTCACCAGCCACATGAAGGCGAAGACAGCGGTGACAACGAAATCCTGGGGAGAGAGCCGGGTTAGCCCCCTGCGTGGCCCCCCAATGCCTGGCCCTGCCTGCCGAGGGAGAGAGCCCCCTGCCCAACTCCCCGCTCCCTGTGCGCCCCAAACTCACGATCATGGGGCCCTTGTTATTCTCCCGGTACTTGTTCTCCATGAAGAGGTAGACGACCGTGGCAGCCAGCGAGTACAGGAAGGCGAAGACCGCGATGGTGACGAAGAATTCAGCCGAGGAGGAGTAATCCCCCATGAGGAACACCTTCTCCACCTCGTGCCCCTTGCAGGCTGGGACGTCGAAATAGACCTGGTGGAGTCTTGAGGAAGGGGGTTGGGGGGAACATGAGGCAGGGGGCTCAGTCATACAGGAGGTACTGGTCCGTATCCTGTATGTATAGCCCAGACCTCCCAGGAATAGAGCCCAGTGACAGCCCTGACCGCTAATGCAAAGATAAGGCAGTCTGTAGACAGAATACAGCCCCGGTCTGTGTAGGAGGCGTCAGTTCATATACAACAAATATCGACCAGTTTTGTATAGCAGATGCCAGTCAATATACTGTATATACAGCCCAGACCTCCCAGGAATACCACCCAATATCAATCATGACAACTAACAAAAGACAAAGACTGTCTGTATACAGAATACTGCCCAGTCTGTGTAGGAGATGCCGGTCCATATATGGACTAGGTCTGTGTAGGAGGTGCTGGGCCATATATTTCTCATATCTAGCCCAGACCTCCAGGAATAGGGCCCAATGTGACCCTGATCACTAACACAAAGAGAAAGGCTGTCTGTTTACAGAATACAGCCCCATCTGTGTAGGAGGTACCGGTCCATGTATAGTAAATATGGACCAGGGCTGTGAAGGAGATGCTGGCCAATTATATTGCGTATATATAGCCCAGACCTCCTAGGAATAGCACACAATGTCAACCCTGACCATGAACACAAAGACAAGGTCAGTCTGTATACAGAATACTGCCTGGCCTGTGTAGGTGGTGCTGGTCCCTATACGGGATATACATACCAGATCTGTATAGAGATGCCAGTTCATACACTGTACAGCCCAGACTTCCCAGGAATAGCGACCCTCATAAGTCCTGACTGTAAATCAAAATTGAGAGCAGGCCGTGCAAAAAATGAAGCCCTGGTCTGTACAGAAGGAACCACATCATATACTCTACAAATACAGCCTGGGCTTCCCAGGGACAGAGCCCAGTGTGCATCCTGATTTCTACCTGAAAGTCAAGGGCAGGAGTCTGCACACAGAACACAGCTTCGCTCTGTGTAGGAGGCACCAGGCCATATACCATATATATAGCCCAGTCTGCCAAGGAGATGCTGGTCCATATACTATAAATACATCCCCAGCCGCCCAAGAACAGTGCCTACTGTAAATCCTAATGCCTATCTCAAAGACAGAGGTCATCTGTATACAGAACACAGGCCTGGGCTGTGTAGGTGGTGTCAGTCGATATACTGTATATACAGCCCAAGCTTCCCGGGAATAGTTCCTAGTATTAATCCTGACTGTGAAGTGAAAGTCAAGGGCAGTCTGTATATAGAATACAGCCTGGAAATAAGTTGTCAGTTTTTAATTGGAACAATTGACCAAGGCGATGCTGGTCCATATACTGTAAATAAAGCCCCAGCCTGTATAGGAGGTACCAGTCGATATGCTGAATTCACCGCCCAGGCCTCTATGAGGCAAAGTCAGTGTGAATCTCAGATGCTATCCCATCCCAGTCTTGAAACATCAAAAGTCTCCAGGTCCCTACGCAGCGTAGCAGCCCACCGGCCGGTCCCTATGCACTGTAACGCCCAGCTCACCTGAATGGGTAGCCAAACTCCACTTCGATGTTCAGGTTGCTCTCGCTTTTATTCACACACTCAATGCTGAGGCGAAATTCCCCACTGTAGGTCCCGCAGGTGGCGAAAGCAAAGATAGCAAAGAGCTGTGGGGTGAGATGGGGCGGGTGTGACCACAGGGGTGCTGCAGGAAGCGCTGGCTGTGGGGGGGAGCTCCCAGCCTCTCCGGCCTCTCCCGGCGGGCGTCGCTGTGGGGAGCAGGGTGGGAGCGCCGGCTGGTGCTAGGATTAATAACCCTGGCTCCGGGACGGGGAGGCGGGTAGAGCAGAGAGGAATTGTGGGTAAGAAGGGTTAGCTGGGTCCCGCCCCCTCTAATCCTCCCAGAGAGCTGGGAAGAGATAAGAACCTGTCTGACCCAATTGTCCATCTGTCTACGTCAGCCACACTCCTCTGTTCTCATGGGTTCCTCCATCCTCCCCCCGACCCCGTGCTGGAAGAAGGGGGGGCGGATATCAGGCTGGAGGGGCCCACAGGTCTGATCCGGGGGGAAATGACTCCAGAACCAGCAGGGTCCACGGGCACCTGGAATCATTCCCCAACCAGTTGGGTCAATGGGTTCATAATACGGCAGAAATGTCAAGCGAGTGGGTCTGGAAACACTCCAGAACTGGCAGGGTGGGGAGGGCCAGGAGCCACTCCAGAACCGGCAGGGGGACCAGGAGCTAATCCAGAACTGGCAGGGGTGTGGGATTTGGGAGCCGATCCAGAACCGGAGAGCGGGTGGGGAGGGCCAGGAGCTGCTCCAGAACCAGCAGGTGTGAGGGATTTGGGGACTGATCCAGAACCAGAGGGGGTGGGGGAGTCAGGGGCTACTCCAGAACCGGCAGGGGGAAGGAGCTGCTCTAGAACCAGAGGGGGATGAGGGGTGGGGGTCAGGAGACGGTCTAGAACCGGCAGGGGGGTCGGGAGCCACTCCAGAACCGGCGGGGGAGAAGCCGCTCTAGAACCAGAGGGAGGAAGCGTTGGGGTCGGGAGATGCTCCAGAACCGGTGGGGAGGGGGTCATGAGGTGCTCCAGAACTGTCAGGGCAGGGTATGGGGGGGTCTGGAACTGCTCCAGAACCAGCAGGATTAGGGGTCTGGAATCTCTCATTCTGTCTCTGAGTTTCTCCATCTCTGGTCTCCCCAAATCTGATGGGGTAACAGGATCTGATAACCGGGTTTTCCTGCACCTCCTTCCTCCAATCCTACAGCCCCTCCCACGCTGCCTGGCTCTGCAGGTTGGGGGGTGGGGAAACAGGGCCTGTCCCCTCTAGGGGGCGCTGGCTCCAAGCCCTAGGCCAGCTCAGAGGCAGTCCAGACAGGACCCCCCAACCTCAGGGTCCTGAGGAGCCAGTTCCGGGGGACTCACCCATTCCAGCAGTTTCAGAAACCCCAGCGGTTCCTTGAGCATCCGGAATTGTCCCCCAGCCACGACCTGTCGGTCAAGGTGGAGAGAAAGGGGGATGGGGCAGGGGGAGGGGGTGATATTAAAATATCTGACATCCCATCGTTTCCTGAACCCCTGCCCTCCCAGAGCCAGGGAGAGAACCCAGGAGTCCTGGCTCTCAGCCCCCGCCCCCGCCCCCGGCTCTAACCATTAGACCCCCACGCCTTTCCCAGAGCCAGGGAGAGAACCCAGGAGTCCTGACTACCAGCCCCCCCGCTCTAATCATTAGACCCCACTCCCCTCCCAGAGCCGGGGAGAGAACCCAGGAGTCCTGACTACCAGTCCCCCCCCCCCCGCTCTAACCACTAGACCCCACTCCCCTCCCGGAGTCAGGGAGAGACCCCAGCGCAAGACGGTTATTGAAGATCACAAGTTCCTACTAGGAAAGGCCTGCAGGAAATACCTCCCCCAAACACATACCCACAGCCTCCCAAACCTTTCCCCGCCCCCAAACTCACTGCCCCCCAATCAACCGGAACCCCCCTACTCCTCCTGCTGTTGGTGGGGTAGATGTTAACCCCCAATTAATAAACAACCCTCCGATATCTGCACCCCCTCAACCCCCCCCAAACCTGATACAAGGATTGGGCTGCATCACCCCCACCAGCCCCCCAACCCCGATGCTGCTGGTGGCAGAAGATTCTGCCCCCCCGTTCATAAACAGCCCCCAAAAATTACCCTGAACCCCCATTGATGGCATTACATTTGACATTTTGACTCCCTCGCCAGCTTGCTGTCAGGGGTAAATATCCCTGAGCCAGACCCTCCCCATGGCAATCAGCCCCCCCCCCCAATTATCTGCACCCCCATATTCCTCCAGCCAGCAGGCAACCGGTTGAATGCACCATCCCAGCCAGTCTCTACCACAGCAGCGGGTGGGAGAATATTCTCGAGTGTCCCCCCCCCATTCATAAAGAGCCCTCCCCACACGTGAGCCCCACATTCCCCCCCCCCCGCACCTGACCGTCATGGCAATGAACCCACTGCAGCAGAGCTCAGCCATCTTCCCTCCCCGCCCCCGCCCCTGCTGCAAATGGAGGGGGGGAATATTTGTAGTTCACCCCCCCACACACACACATACACACATATCCCCCACTGCAAAATATCCGGTCACCTCCCGCCCCATCCCAGATGATCCCCCCCTCAAGTCGTCCATCCAATCTGAACCCCCCTTGCATCAGTCTCAGACCCCCCCCCCGCATTTGCAGCACGGAAATATCCTAGCTCCTGACCCCCCCTACACTCCCCACTGCAATCTACCTGCAGCCAATCTGTGCCCCCCCCCCATGCATCAATTTCAGATCTCCCCCATCTGCAGCTGGGAAATCTCCTAACCCCCCATTATAATCTCAGAGAATCGCGCCCATGTGTGCCCCCCCAGCATCAATCTCAGATTCGCCCCCCCCACAGTTGTAGCAGAGAAATACCCTAGCCTGCCCCATAGCCTGCCCCCCCTCCCTATATTTGCAGTGCGTTGCGTTTGAATGCAGCAGCAGCTGCTGCAAAAAAAAAAAAAAAACCCGCTAGGCAGGGATTGGGGGTGCATGGAGGGAGCGGGATGCATCTCGGGGGGGGCAGAGGGGGCCCCTTGCCCTGTGGGAAAAGCCCCCCCGTTCCCCTGATTGCTGTCTATGGTACTGAGCGAGCCAGGTGCGTACCTGATTGAGGACTTCCATCTTGGAGCTGTCTGGAGCAAGGCGGGGGGGGGGGGGGGCTAGATCCAGAACAGCCAGGAGGGGGGGTGCAGACGCAGGAGGGAAGAGCGGGGGGGGTAGGGTGACGTCACGACGGGGGATGTCACTCCCTGGCAGAGGGAGCGGGAGAGATGGGGCGGGGGGGGGGGGGGGTTCAAATCCCAGAGCTGGGGGCTTGGAGCCAGGACTCCTGGGTTCTTTCCCCAGCTCTGGGAGGAGAGTGGGGTATAGTGGTTAGAGCAGAGGGGCTGGGAGCCAGGACTCCTGGGTTCTTTCCCCAGCTCTGGGAGGGGAGTAGGGTCTAGTGATTAGAGCCGGGGGGCTGGGAGCCAGGACTCCTGGGTTCTCTTCCCGGCTCTGGGAGGAGAGTGGGGTCTAGTGATTAGAGCCGGGGGGCTGGGAGCCAGGACTCCTGGGTTCCATTTGAGGGCTGTAGGTCTGACAGTCCCCCAACTCTCCCCCCCCAGTACAACTCACCTGGGGGGCTCCCCCTACTGGATGGGGGTGGGGCTTCAGCAAAGGGGGCGGGGCAGCTTGAGTAACCAGTGTCCCCTGACCAATGGGGGGGTGGGGTTTGGGGGCGAATCCCTCCCCCTGCTGGGTTCTTTTCTCCGGCCCCTCCCCAATGGGTCACCCCCCCCCCGGCTCCTTTCCTCTAGGGGGAGGTCCAAACAGAGGGCCAGGAACCCACCCCAGCGGAGTCCTGAAGCCCTGGGGTCTCCCTGGTGTCTTCGCCCGCCCCCAAGGTCTCTCTCCTGCCCTGGGCTCAGATGGGAGCCGGCGCCCCCTAGGGGGGAAAGGCCCCAGGTCCCATTCCCCGACCCCCTGAGCCAGCCAGTTCCCCAGAGGCCCCACCACCACCACTCACAGTCCCCTGGCCCTGCCCCCAGCCCAGGGCCTGTTAAGGAAAAGTTAGCACATGTGACTCCCTTTTGGTTTGGGGCCCAGCATTGTTTAAATGCCAGCACATCATCCACCAGGAGGAGTGATCCTTAGATACTGAATCCCTGTGAAAATCCCCCTTGTCTCCAGCCTGCCTTGACTCCCAGTATCTGGTTTTTGTCAGTCTCTAACTCCCTGTCTCTTGGCCTTGATGTGAGGCCTCCCATCCTATTTACTGATGCATGGCTTTAGGACCATGCTGTGTAATTAACATACTGGTATAGCACGAGGAATGCACCAAGCAGGGATAGGTGGTAGATGAGACAAGGGTTTGTTTATTGGCTAAGGTTTCCGATGCACGAGGGCAACATGCTTTGCTAAAAAGTATATAACCTTTGTATAATCTGTATTCAGGGTCCCCTCCTGGCTAGCAGGGGGGCACCACGCTCGAGCGTAATAAACTTTTGGGAACTCTGCAGTTGTGGACTTTGTTTCTGTGCCTCAGCCTAGATTCGAACTGTGCGTGTCCTCCCAGGTGTAATTCGCAGCAGTTGTGTGCGTGTCCTCCCAGGTGTAATTCGCATTGGTGTGGGTGTCCCTGTCCTCCCAGGTGTAATTCGCAGCATTGGTGTGCGTGTCCTCCCAGGTGTAATTCGCAGCATTGGTGTGCGTGTCCTCCCAGGTGTAATTCGCAGCATTGGTGTGCGTGTCCTCCCAGGTGTAATTCGCAGCAGTGGTGTGCGTGTCCTCCCAGGTGTAATTCACAGCATTGGTGTGCGTGTCCTCCCAGGTGTAATTCGCAGCATTGGTGTGCGTGTCCTCCCAGGTGTAATTCGCAGCAGTGGTGTGCGTGTCCTCCCAGGTGTAATTCGTAACAGGCCCCACCGCTTCCAGCCCCTCCCCTCCGCCTTGCCCCGGCCCTGCCCCTCCCCTAGACCCACCCCCACCCCTAGCTCTGCCCTTTGCCCCGCCTCCAATGTGAGTTCCAGACCCGCCCACATCCTTAGCCCCACCCCTTGCCCCCTCCCTGACCCGCCACTTAGCTCCGTCCCTTGGCTACTGCCAACCCCTCGCCCTGGGGCCCTCACCTTCCCCCTGCTCCTCCCCCCCCCACCAGCCCCACCCCCTGGGCCCAACCCCACCCCCTCACCCCAGCCCTTCCTCTGTTCCTGCCCCTGGCTCCACCCCCTCGCCCCAGCCCCACCCATACCCCTCGCCCTGGGGCCCTCACCTTCCCCCTGCTCCTCCCCCCCCCACCAGCCCCACCCCCTGGGCCCAACCCCACCCCCTCACCCCAGCCCTTCCTCTGTTCCTGCCCCTGGCTCCACCCCCTCGCCCCAGCCCCACCCTTGCTCCTGCTCCCAGCCCCGCCACCTACCTGCAGGTGTGAGGGGCAGTAGGTAGGTCAGCGCTTGGCCTGGTGCCCTCCCAGCCCCCCATCGGGGTGGGGTTGGAGAGGGGTGGGGTGGGAGACAGAGCCAGGGACCTCCCACCGCCATTGTGCCAGGGGGGCTGATGGAGCCAGGTGTCCCCCACCTGAACGAGTGAAAACAGGAACGAAGGAATGAAGAAGAGAACAGAGGGACAAATGGAAAGGGAGGACAAAGGAATGAAGAAATGAAGGAAGGAATGAGAGAACAGAGGGGCAAATGGAAAGGCAAGATATGACCAACACAACAAAAGAGAGACCCGATGAACCAATGGAAAGAGGGAAGAAATGAATGAAAGAAAAAAGGAAGGAAGAAATGAGACAACCGATGGACGAATAGGAAGAACAAAGAATTGAACGAATCAAAGGGCAAAGGAAGAAAAAATGAATGAAACAAGAAATGAGAGAGTGAACAAAACCACAAAAGGAAGAACGAAGGAGAAAAACAACAAAGAAAAGTAAAAGGAATGAACGGAGAAGGGAAGAACAGGAGGAAGAAAAACAGGGAGAATGCAGTAAAAACGGAAGGAAGTGGGCGAGAGATTGAAAGAGTGAACCCAGGCATCTGGGCCAAACCCCAGGGCGTCAAAACCATGAAGGAGGGGAAGGAAAACATGGCAGCTGGACAGAACGACACCAGACGAGATACAGACAGAAAGCACCCCAAGGAGTGACCCCTGCTCAGCTCCCCCCATGGGGCCTTGTGGGGAGCACTGCCCAGCTGATAGGAAGCGGGGCGAACCAGAGCCCCACTCCAGCACTGAACTCCAACAGCCAGGGTGTGAACCCAGGTGTTTGGGCTGAACCCCAATTTGGGGACCTGCAGTTTAAGGGAGCTGTCCCCATGCAGCGTTATGTGCAGCTGTTCCCCAACCACCCTGCCCCAGAGACAGCTGCATCATAGAATCATAGGACTGGAAGGGACCTCGAGAGGTCATCTCGTCCAGTCCCCTGCACTCATGGCAGGACTAAGTATTATCTAAATCAGCGCTACTCAAAGTGGTGGTCTGCGGACCGGCACCGGTCCGCGAGCCGTCGGCTGCCGGTCTGCGCGCACATTGGGAAAAACACTGCCAGTCCCCCACATCAGATAGCTTGAGAAGCACTGATCTAGACCATCCCTGACAGGTGTTTGTCTAACCTGCTCTTCAAAATCTCCAGTGACAGAGATTCCACAACCTCCCTGGGCAATTTATCCCAGGGCTTGACCACCCGGACAGGTAGGAAGTTTTTCCTAATGTCCAACCTAAACCGCCCTTGCTGTAATTTAAGCCCATCGCTTCTTGTCCTGAACTCAGAGGTTAAGAAGAACGATTCTTCTCCCTCCTCCTTGTAACAAACTTTTATGGACTTGAAAACTGTCATCATGTCCCCTCTGTCTTCTCTTCTCCAGACTAAACAAACCCCAGTTTTCCAATCTCCCCTCATAGCTCCTGTTTTCTAGACTTCTCATCATTTTTGTTGCTCTTCTCTGGACTTTCTCCAATTTGTCCACATCCTTCCTGAAATGTGGCACCAGAACTGAACACAAACCTCCAGTTCAGGCCTAACCAGCGCGGGGTAGAGCGGAAGAGTCACTTCTCGTGTCTTGCTTACAACACTCCTGCTAATCCAGCCCAGAAGGAGGTTCGCTTTTTTTGCAACAGAGTCACACTGTTGACTCATATTTAGCTTGTGACCCACTCTGACCCCCAGATCCCTTTCCGCGGTGCTCCTTCCTCGGCGGTCATTTCCCATTGTGTGTGTGCGACTGATTATTCCTTCCGAAGTGTTGTACTTTGCATTTGTCCTTATTGAATTTCATCCTATCTACTTCTGACCATTTCTCCAGTTTGTCCAGATCATTTTGAATTTTAATCCTACCCTCCAAAGCACTTGCAACCCCTCCCAGCTTGGTATCGTCCGCAGACTTTATCAGTGTGCTCTCTATGTCATTATCTAAATCACTGATGAAGATATTGAACAGAACCAGACCCAGAACCGATCCCTGCAGGACCCCACTCGTTATGCCCTTCCAGCATGACTGTGAACCACTGATAACAACTTTCGGGGAACCGTTTTCCAACCAGTTTTTCACCCTCCTTACAGGAGCTCCATCTAGGTTGCTTTTTCCTAGTTTGTTTAGCAGAAGGTCAGGGGGACAGTATCAAAAGCCTTACTAAGGTCCAGATATACCACGTCTACCGCTTCCCCCTATCCACAAGACTTGTTACCCTGTCACAGAAAACTATCAGGTTGGTTTGACACCATTTGTTCTTGACAAATCCAGGCTGACTGTTACTTATCACCTCATTATCTTCCAGGTGTCTGCAAATTGATTGCTTAACGATTTGCTCCATTATCTTTCCGGGTTCAGAAGTGAAGCTGACTGGTCTGTAATTCCCCGGGTTGTCCTTATTCCCCTTTTTATAGATGGGCACTAGCTTTGCCCTTTTCCAGTCTTCTGGAATCTCTCCCGTCTTCCGTGACTTCTCAAAGATAATCGCCAGTGGCTCCGATATCTCCTCAGTCAGCACCTTGAGGATTCTGGGACGCATTTCATTGGGCCCTGGTGGCTTGAAGACATCTAACGTGTCTAAGAAATTGTTAACTTCTTCTTTCCCTATTTTAGCCTCTGACCCCCCTCATTGTCACTGGCATTCACTATGTTAGCCGTCCGATTACCACCAACCTTCTTGGTGAAAACCGAGACAAAGACGTCATTAAGCACCGCGGTCATGTTTCGGTTGTTGTTTTCCCCCCTCACTAAGTAACGGGCCTACCCTGTATCTTGGGTCCTCCCCTGCCCCTGGAGGCCAGGCTCTCCACTCCTCCTCCCGTGTCACGTAGCTTTGCTCCCGCACAGTCTCTTCACCATACTCCCGGATTGGAGTGGGATTTTCATGCGCCGTAAGGTCCTGTCGGAGCTCCGCCTAGACAGACACAGACATCAGGAACCCAGGCATCCTAGCTCCCAGCCCACCTCCCCGCCAACACAGACTCTAACCACTAGGCCCCACTCCCCTCCTAGTGTCAGGGATGGAACCCAGGTGTCCTGCCTCCCAGTCCCCTCTGCTCTAACCTCTTGATCCCACTTCCTCCCCACCCCAGAGCTGGAGAGAGAACCCAAGAGTCCTGGCTCCCAGCCCACCCCCTCTCAGAGCAGGGAAAAAACCCAGGCGTCCTGCCTCCTACCTCTCTGACTTTTCTGTCAGTTGCTCAGCGAGCTGCAGAGAGGGAGGATGGTGAGATGCCACCAGTGCAGAGTCACCCACAGACCACCACACCCCACAACTTCCCCCAGGGGTCAGGGATCAGGGGTTCACCTCAGTCGGCCCCACTCACCTTCGTCAGCTCCGGGGAGATCTCGACCTGCTTCGCCAGCTGGTGGGGGAGGGCGGTCAGACTTGTGCCCCTCCAGCCTGGGACCCTCCCTTTGCTCCCCCAGATCCAACCCACAGATCCATCCGGCCTAGTATCCCTCTGTCCCTTTCCTGGCTAGGACCAATAAGCCCACATCTCCCCCTTTCACCCCCCACAATCTGCACTTGCTCCATCTTTGACAGCAGAGCTGGGAGGGGTTGGCACCTGGTGTCTGATCTGTGGGACCCGGGGCCCTGGCAGAGACCCCCTGCCCAGCCCCCAGCCCTGCAGCACGGTGCCGCCCAGCCCCGACTGCCAGGGGAGAGCACCCCCCCCAGTGAGCTGCAGCCCCCTGCATACATGTTCGTTTCCAGGGCACAGATCCCCCCCCCCCCCGATGCCATTCCTGTCGCACAGATTCATTCCCCCCATCCACACACTGACCCAAAGCACCATATGCCCCCCCATGCTGACCCCGACATCACCCCTCCCATCTCAGGGGCAACCCCCACCCTCCCTCCCCCCATACAGCTTATCTCCCCTGCCCCCCTCCTCCGCAGAGGATGCCAGTTAGGGCAGTCCCAGAGCCAGGCATCCCCAGCTCATTAATCCCGTCCTGGCTCAATTCCCCACAACTTTCACAACAGGGGTTACAGCCGGCAGGGGGGGGGCGCTGGGAGCCAGGACTCCTGGGTTCTCTGCCTGGCTCTGGGAGGGGAGTGGGGCCTAGTGGTTAGAGCGAGTGGGGGCGGCGCTGGGAGTCAGTGTTTGCCTGTGTCCTGCCAGAGGCGACGATCCAGACCCGAGTTTGCCTGGTCTCAGCCCCAGGCCTCAGGGGCCAGCAGCTCTTCACCACGGGGCCCCAGGCTGCAGAAGTCACTGGGAACAGCTGGGAGGGAGGGAGGGATTTGGGGGCACTAGGCCCTGTCCTGTACAGCTCCTTCCCCCCCCAGCTCCTGCCCCTCCTCAACCCCCCAGCCCCACAACCAAGGCCTCTGTCCCCCACCCCTGCTCCCTGCTCCCAGCCCCGCCCCCAGCAGCTCTCCAGCCCTGCCCCCTCTAGCCCCTCCCCCAGATCCCAGCCCCGCCCCCTCAAGCCCGCCCCCTGCTCCCAGCCCCGCCCCCTCAGGCCATTCCGCCAGTTCCCAGCCCCGCCCCCAGCCCCACCCCCGCGCCTCTCAGCCCCGCCCCTTTCCGCCCCTCCCCCAGCTCCCAGCCCCTCCCCCAGCTCCCAGCCCCGCCCCTCAAGCCCCGCCCCTGCTCCCAGCCCCGCCCCCTCCGGCCATTCCGCCAGCTCCCAGCCCCGCCCCCAGCCCCACCCCCGCGCCTCTCAGCCCCGCCCCTTTCAGCCCCACCCCCAGCTCCCCAGCCCCGCCCCCTCCCGGCTCCTGCGGGCGCTGAAGCTCCTCCCCCCATCAGGCCCGCCCCCGCTTCCGGCCTCGGCCTGTCGGAGGGCAAAAAACACCCCCGCCCCCTCCAGGCCTTTAAAGGTGTGGGTGACTTTACGGGCGGAGCATAGAGTTGCCGGGGAGAGCGAGGGAGCGAGCGTCGGCCAGAAGCCGGAAGTGGGGACCATAGAGAGGGGCCAGACCGGGCCGGATGGGGGAAGAGAGTCGCGCCTAGAGGGCGGAGGATGATAGAGACGCTGGAGGGCGAGGGATAGCCCCTCCCGTCACCTATGAAGCGGAAGTTATGACCATAGAGGCGCAGAGCGCAAGCCGGAAAGAGAGAGCGTCGCCAGCAGCAGGGCTGTGACTTGAGGACCATAGAAATGTAGCAAGCGCGGGAGAGAGAGCGTCGGCCGCCGGACCGGAAGTGTGACCATAGAACCTTACGGGACAGAGCGTCTCTTGTGAAACCGGAAGCGCGGTGACCATAGAGACATAGGCAGGGAGTGTCGCCTCCTTTGGTCCTCCAACAAGGTCTCCCGCGCCCCTTTCCCCATCCCAATTAGTGCAACCATTAATTAGCCGGAGTTAACGAAGATTTAGTGACACAGCGGGGCGGGGCTCTGCCCCCACTTCAGACCCACCCAGGCCAAGTACTGGGACCCTTAATTAGCACTGATTAGCCAGCCCCAATTAGCTAATCACCCTCAACTAATGAGAGCCCGGGGTGGGGGTTGGGGGGGGCGCCAGGAACCGTTAATGACCCAACCGGGGCCAATCCGCGCTGCCCAATTAACCCAGGGCTAATTAACGAGGCTGCAGCGCTAATGAGCAGCCAGGACTGGGGGCCACCTAATTAACACAGGGCTAATTGAGGCGGCCACGGAGCTGCCTCCCCATGATCCTCTACCCCCCCATCCCCCGGGGTCCCCCACCCATCGCCCCCAGGCCCGGCTCCCCCCGCCCCTCGCCTCGAGCTCCCTTCCGTCGGCCCACCCCGCTCCGTGCCTCTTGGCCACGGCACCCCCCTGGCCACGGCACCCTGGGGCTCGCCCCCCTGCCAGGCCGGCCCCGGGGCGTCCCTGCCAGCCCTGGCGGGGGTGCCTCAGCCCCGGAGGAGCGCCCGCGTCTCGCGCCAGGTCTCGGGCTCAGTCGGACGTGCCAGGGCTGATCAGGAGGGCGGGAGTCCCAGGGGCTCCGTCTCGGAGGCCACGTGGCCGACCCCGGGGGAAAATCCGGATGCCGGGGGGTGGGGGGGCTGCCCCGCTAACGGGGCTGGGGTGCAGCTCAATGGGCTCTGCTGGACTCGGCACTCAAACATGGCCTACATCCGTGAAGGCAGCCGAGCGCGGGAGGAATTAGGCCCTTGGGCTGCCCGGCCTAGGTGCTGGGGGCACGGAGACAAGGTGGCGGGCTCAACCCGCCCCGCGAGCCGCCCCTGGCTCCTTGTCGCTTCCAGCCCCGGCCGGCGGGCACCGGAGAATCTCCGATTTCCGGTGTGAAAGAGCCAGGAGCCTGCGGGGCAGTGGCCAGCACCCGCAAATACGGGCCCAGGGCCCCCCGAAGCCCGAGAGAGCAAAGGAATCGTCGACCCCCACCCCAAATCAGACTCTGGACATGGGGCCGTGTTAGAAAATCGTCGGCGGCCTCGGTTTATTTATAAGCATCTCAAAGCGAATATTTATTTCCATGTCTCGGTACAAAACCGGGGAGGGAGGTACGGGTGGAGTTGGGGTCAGAGCCAGTCCCCCCCACAATGTAATACAGCTGTCACACACACCCAGAAGGCTGCTGGACCCCTCTCATGCACCCCAATAGCCACAGCTCCCCCAGCCCCCTTCTTCAACCCAGCCCTCCCTTTTCTATATGTAACCTCCCTGCTCTTTCCCTCCATACAACCCAGCCCCCCCAAGCTGCGCTACACAGCAGCACCCCCCCAAAACTCCCCATCCTGTTTTCAGCCATGCCCTCTCCTCCCCCCATATCACCCCACACCTTCCCCCTTTGAACCTACCACCTTCCCATCCCTAGAGGGGACAGGCCCCGTGCCCCATTCCCCACCCCCTCCCCAAGCCAGCCAGCACCCTGCGCTGGGGCTGGAGGGGAGCTGCCCCCTAGAGGGGAAATGAAGGGGGATCCTTCATCTGCATCCCCAAAGTCAGAGACCTGTGGGGGTTGTTGGCGGCAGGCTCGGTAGGGAGCATGGAAAGGCAAATGAGAACCCCCTGAACCCCGGCTTGTACGGGCCAGGAAAGGGTTATAATTTTCTCTTTAAAAAAACAAAATAGGATTTGTATAAAATAAAAGCATTTTAAAAAAATTCCCCTCCTACCATGTCGCCCCAAAATCTGCTTGAGTCCCCCACAAGACATAGATCCCCCCCAAAAAACTCATCACCCCTATTTAGGGGACATATACCCAATGGGGCTATGGAAAGGACAGGACTCAGCAGTGACTCCCCCGCTCATATGTTTTTCTGGTGCCACTTTTGGGGGGGCCATGGAAGCTTAGAGCCCATGAGTCATTCCTCCAAATGTCACCCCAAAATGGCAGGGAATTTGGGAGAGATAAATGTGGGTGTTCGGAAGTTATTCGGCACCCCCCAAAAGAGAGAACCCCGTTATCAGTTGATCCACCAGGCTTGCAGGATTTGGCTTACAGCTGTTTCATTCCCCCGTACCCCATTTTCTGAAGGAGCACCCCTTTTAATTCCCCCAGTAGAGCACATTTTGGGGTGCATTTGGGGGAGTGCCTCAGTGCCCCATTTTCTGAAGGGACACCCCATAGCTAGACACCCCAGGAGTACAAGTTTTGGGGTACACCTGTTTTATCCAGGGAACCCCTCATACATAGCTCCATGAAGCTCATGTTGGGAGTACACACTCAGAAGGGGGGGAAATGTATTGGAAGAAGCTGGAACTAGGGACACCCCCATCCCAAAATTGGGGGTAAAGCCCCCTTGGGAATGAGCTGACACCCACTGGTTTGGGGGGGCCGTGTGGGGGCTGATCAGCCCCCTCCCCCAATGGCCACACCCCAATTTTGTCCCTCTTAGGTTTCAGGGCACATGGCTCTGTTCACAGTGCAGGCTCAGATGAACCCCGATATTGACACAGCTGTGGGGAATAGCTCCTTTTGGGGGTTCCCCATCACAAGCACCCCCACATACACAGTCTGTTAGGGAGAGGCCATGGGGCCCTCCTGACCCCTAAGTAGGCTGCAGGGGGGGGTTCCCTGATGCTCCACAATCAAGGTTGGGGGGGAAGGGAAGGGTAGTTTAGGGGAGGCGTGCGCATAAGGGAGAGGGGTGTGTGTGGGGGGTCATCCATTGAGAACAATAGAGAGGGGCAGAAGTGTGAGAGGAAGGGGCGGAGCCTGTAGGAAAGGGGCATGTCTTGCAGGAAATGGGTGGAGGCTATGGCTAGAGGGCGGGGACTGCATATAAGGGGTGGGGCCTATGAAAAAGGGGTGTGGTCTGGCGAGGGCAGGGCTTCCCTGGGGGGAACAAAGTGGGGGGAGCTTGGGAACAGATAAGGGGCAGGGCCTACACAACAGGGCAGAGAGGGAGGGTAAAAGGGGCAGAGTCTGAAACTCTGAGACCCAGTCCCTCCTGCTAAAAGGGGTGGAGCCTCCATGATGGGGAGGAGCTTGAGGAGGGGGTGGAGCTTTTGGAACTCAGGTGCTGCCCACTGACAGCTGGGGTAAGGCCTATACAATAGGGCGGAGCTTGAGCTGAGGGGGAGGGGCTTACGAGCCTGGGGCGCCACCCATGGAGCGAAAGCAGGGGGGCCCACATCCTGGGATGCAGCTGGAGAGAAAGGGAGGAGCTGGCAGAGCCTATAAAAGAGGAGGGCAGAGCCTGGAGACAGCCAGAGGGCGGAGCCCGATGGGAGAAGAGGTGTGGCTC